AGAATAGATGCTTTCGAATTATTGTGCTGAAAAAGACTTTTGAGAGTTCCTTGGACTGCAAGGAGATCAAATCAGTCAATCCTAAAAGAAATCAACCCTGACTATTCCCTGGAAGGCCAGATACTGAAGCTGAAGTGCAAATTCTTTGGCCGCCTAAGGAAAAGGGAGCATTCACTGGAAAAGACCCTGATGCTGGGAAACATTGAAGGTAAAAGTAAGAAGGGGACAGCAAAGGATGAGATGGTTAGACAGTGTTATCAATGCAACGGACATGAAATTAAGCAAAATCTAGAGGACAGTGGAAGACAGGAGGGCCTGGTGTGATGTGGTCTATGGGGTCATGAAGAGTCGGACTCAACTGTACAACTGAACAACAACAAGAGATTTCCAAGAGAGAAACACAAAGCACTCTGTCATCAGCAAAGAGGCTAACTTAATGGTGATAATTTTTGAGATCACTCAGTTTCTTACCAGTCAGTTTATACTCAAGCATACTATGTCCGTTTGCACTCAAGCCTAAGAGTCCACATTTGCTGCTTCCACTGCTGTGCTTTTCAGCTATTTGTCTGTATCTGTCCCTACCCTATTGAACCCCTTGCAAAATAAAAAAACAAAGATTGTTCCTGGCAATAGAGTTAATGAAATGCAAGCATAAAAGTAGGGGTGCAACATGTTCATATGTTCTTTAAGGTTTGAGACTAGTTAGACTGAATCTAATTTCTCTCATCCTGCTCAGATGCTGCCTTGATCAGTGAACCTGTCCCCAACTCGCTTGTGTTATCTGCTGTGGATTCCTCACAGTGTTATAGTCAAAGATGGTACCATGTTCAGACATTGCAAAGAAACTCTAGTTTGCTGTACAAAGAAGCAGCTAGGGCTTGTGTACGTTTCCCTCATTATACACAGAACAGCAGTGGAAACCTTCATGGTCTCCACAGCTTGTTTTGGCATCTGAAATGGCACTATTAACAAGTTGGAATTTCCTTGTTTGCAAGACAGCAAGAATGGTTCAGATACCTGTGTTAATATAAATTGGGACTGCAAATACCGCTGAGCATTGGTAATAATGGCTGAAGGATTATCAATCCGTACCCTGTTTGGGGCTGATGGTTGTATAGGCATGTACATTGATAGCCAGACAGCAGTTTTGATTACACAACTTTAAATCTAAGTGGGCTTTTTTGTCAACTAGCACTTGTGAGAAAATTCTATAACAATGCAGACTGAATGTCTTGCATGGTTCTCTGACCATTTGTAGTGAAGAAGTCGATACAGTTGAGTCTTGAACACATATACATTTTAAAGCCACAAATGGAGTTTTCCTTCTTCACAAAAGTAACTTTTGATGTTCCTTTTAGAATTCGGTGGTTGGTGGGTTTGTGTCACATTACCTGCTGGAGAAATCCAGGATCTGTGTTCAAGGCAAAGAGGAAAGGAATTACCATATATTCTACAGGCTTTGTGCTGGAGCTCCTGAAGATATAAGAGCGAAACTGTATTTAAGCTCACCAGATAATTTTAGGGTGAGTAGATCTCTCTCCCTCTCTATTACCACCCACTGTTCTTGCTTCTTCCAGAATGTCTTGTATTAAGTTGCTGCCTGCTCTATCAGGAGAGTGGTTGAATTGAGTTTCAGGTACTTTACGATTCAGGTTTATAAATTTATAACTCTTCAGCCAAGTTTAGGATTTATTTTGTTTCTCTCCTAACCCAAAGACTTGGAATGGTTTGCATTTTAACACACCAGTAAAATCAGTGAAAATACCATGTTTATAAAGGTTTAGCCTCATACACTGATAAACAATTAAAATACATTTGATAATTTAGTCCTAAACAAGTCAGTGCTTAGTCTCTGAAACTGTAAGTGGAACAAGCTTCCCCAAGAAAATCCATCCGTATTCAGAACTTAGTAGTCAAGGATCATGTGAGTCTTCCACCAAAAACGACAGCCCATTATGTACACTGACCCATGTTGTGGGATCGTGTCCTCCCCTTTTTCTTCTCATTAGATGTTGGTAGAGGAAGAAATTAGAGAAACAATTTGGGTAAGAATGTCTGAAAGTTACAGGATGAAATGTAAATGTCATGTTTTTACTATACGTAGGCTGCGGTCACACGGAGCAGTAGCCATGCTACTGTGACGGAAGATAGGCCGATTTTCCGGGCACAATCTCACCGCCACATCTGGGAAGCGTAGAGCTCCCGTAGCGAACCCGAGGCTTCCCGCCGAAGATGCGCAGTTAAAAATAGTACCTCGGAGGTACTAGTTTCCGGAAACCGCGGGGCAAGGGCGGGCGTCTGATTGAGTTTCCGGTGGTATCCGGCGCCTGCCCATGCCCCATTTGGAAAAGAGTTTGTTTGTTTTTTGAAGTCTCCAGGGATGCGCACAAGCACCCAACGGGGCATGCGCATACTTGCGGTTCAATTAAAAAAACAACACAACCCCGTCGTGCCGCACCGCTTCTTTGGCGCGTCGTTTGATCGGCACCTCCCCCTTAACCATGGGACCTTGACGGGACCGCAAGAGGATGCCTGATCGCGCAGTCGCGCATAATTTTGCTGTGGGGCAAACAGCCACGCCTCCCCCCCGCGATATCCGGCCCGTATGACCATAGTGCATTTTCAGCAGCTTTTTGAAGTTGTAATTGTCCATTGAGGAGGAAGAAGTCTTTTCAGTTTTTTGTTTTTAAATCTGTTCCTCAATTTATGCACAAGAGATAATAGAGTACTAGTGCAGGTGCTGGAACATGCTTCCCAGAGGACTGCATTTGTAAAGGGATTCCACTAAGGTGTGCTAATAAGGAATTATTACAGAACAAAGTTTGAGTCCAGTGGCACTTTAAGACCAACAAAGTTTTATTCAAGGTATAAGCTTTCATGTGCACACACACTTCTTCAGATACTTTAAAATGGAAGTTGCCAATCCATACATATAGGTAGAGGGTGAGCAGCAAATTAGCATACAGCATAATAAAGTTGTTGGACAAATGCAAGGACCAAACTGGAATAACAAGCTTAGTTTATATGGTCACCATGTCAGACTCTAACAAATTTAATCTCAACAACACTCTCTGGATAGTGATTTGTTTATTGAGAGATGTGAATTTATAAAACTAAGACCATATGTGTCAGAACTAACTCCTTTGGCGCCAGTTCTGGAATTATACATGGCTCAAACAAGCCCCCCACCCAGTAACCTGTCCAATCAATCCATCCACTCAGCCCGCCTAAACCTAGCATGCTTCGTTAGCTCCCCTCCCCCACCTGCGAACCTACAGTTACATTATCGACGACAGGCTGGCTAGCAGAGACAGGCATTCAACGTCATTTCACATACTTCCCATTCAGGAGGCTTTGAGAGCCACTTTGGTGTAGTGGTTAAGTGTGCGGACTCTAATCTGGGAGAACCGGGTTTGATTCCCCACTCCTCCACTTGCACCTGCTGATGTGACCTTGGGTCAGTCCTAAGCTCTGGCACAGCTGTCCTTGAAAAAGAGCAGTTTGTGTCAGAGTTCTCTCAGCCCCACCCACCTCACAGGGTGTCTGTTGTGGGGAGGGGAAGGGAAAGGAGTTTGTAAGCCGCTCTGAGACTCCAAGTGAAGGGCGGGGTATAAATCCAATCTCTTCCTCTTCTTCCTCCTCCTCCTCTTCTTCTTCTTCTTAAGAAACAGCGACAAAGCATTTGTGCTAGTTGGTTTATTGAATGCTGAATCTGTGTTTTAAAATAGTTGTTAAAGGTACGATGGTATGGGACTAAACTTCACAGTAACCATTACCATGCTATCGTGTTGAGGGGCAACATACTTCCCCCTCGTACTTTGGAATCTAAATACACGTTCTTTTTCTTTGTTTCAATAGTATTTAAATCGCGGCTGCACTCGATACTTTGCTACCAAAGAAACAGATAAGCAAATTTTGCAGAATCGCAAAAGTCCTGAGGTAAGATGCATATTTAATATTGGAATGTCATGCTTTGCAAAGCAGTTATAGCACCTAGGGTAATCGCTGCATCTAAAATCCGGTTCATATCTGCTTGTGTTCAAGCAGTTTTGATAGTGTTTATCCTTGTCTGGTGAGAAGGATTAAAGCCCAGTGCTACTACCCCCCCTCCCGAACAAATGAAGGGCATTTTGAAAACTGGCTTCAGCCATCCAGTAGGTATGCACAGCTCTGCATGTGCACCAGGAGGCATGTACTCACTGGTAGTATACAAGGATATCTTGATTGAGGCCAGTTTTCTGAGCTATGCCTTTGTTCAGTGAACCTGACTTGACTCACCTGTTTCCATCTATATATCTGAACTGTAGCCAGAATTTTGGCATCCTTGTTGATTAGAAAAGTTTGCCTGGAATGAAAGATTTTATTGGATTTTTGTTCAGCTTGATCATTACAGAAGCAGAATAATAAACTTTATGTCGTTGCTTTCATCTGCTATTTTGTCAGTGACATTTAACTAAATGGAAGTTTACATATAGAAATCAATGAGTGCAGTAATGACAATGCAGGATAGAAGGCTCATTCCTCACTGATCCTCTCCCCACTGCTGGTGTGTATGCACCATTATGGCTTGTGCTTTTCTGGAACCTTGAAAAAGGGGCTGCTGTAGCCCTGTGTGTATAGTGCCTGTTTATAGGCAGCAGTTCACACAAATAGAGCCTTTGTCTGAATGCAGCCAAACAGTGAGCCCTGCACTCACCTGTTATAGTTCTGGGGCTACCCCAAAAGCTTGACCTATTTTGTGAGATAGTTAAAAACTGGTCTGAATATGGTGGGTTAGCTTCCAGTGCTGACAGCATAGTGTCCAGCTAGGTAGTGATGTACTGATATATGTTAAACTTGGCCTATATAAATAGAAGGTCATTGTTGTGGTACCTGTGCAGTTCTCCATGGGTTCTGCATATGTGCAAGGCCAACCATGAAGGCTTTTTTTGAAATTCAGGAAAGCAGAAGGTGCTCTCTTCCGGATCTCTCATGCTGAATTCCTACCTTTTTTGGTGTGGAAAGGAGAAAGGGGCGCCCTTCCTCAGATCTCTCTCTCTGCTGCCGCTGCCGCTGCCTTTCTCTGAAGCTCCTTGCCTGAGGAATGTAAACAAAATTGTGGATTTAGTCTCCCACTGAGGAGCTTTTCTATTCTTCCAGACTTTATTTTTCTCCTTTTTCTGAGGAAAATAGGGTATCTCCACTGAAAAGGTAACTTTTGTAGGATCTGTCACTCCTCCTTCGCAAAGGCTTTTCCTCCTTCAGAAAGGATTCGAGCAATCTGTCTGTGGATTCTTCTTTTACATTACAGATTCCAGCTGGCCATCTTTGTCCAAAGACTACTGGGCCTTTATGGCTTCAGCGGCCACTGTAGTGCCCTTCACAGGAGTGTGAATGCAAATCCTGATGCTCTGGATCCTACAGCCTTTCAGTCCTTCCAACCGTTCCCAGTCTGAAAGTCCTTCCTAGAGTTGTACTCCACTCCCTCCATTCATGGATATGTCAAAGCAGCCTCCTATGCGGGGTCCCCCTTCAGTGTTCCCTTCCAAGAGATTACCTGAACTACAGGTGCTTCCTTGCTAGGTAGGGGCACTCACGTCAGGCCTACCTCAGTCAGCAGTGCTTGGAGCCACTAGGAGAGCATGCTCCATATAAATATTCTCAAAGCTGTATACAACAACCTTGCTCCGTGCTTGCATTTAGAAGGAAAAACTGTCCTTAGCCGCCTGCCTGATATCATTACAATGTATTACCTGAACAAACAGGGGAACAGCATTGGTGGCTTTATGTCACCCAGCAATTCAAATATGGGATTTATGGATTTCCTTTACAGGCTGTTCATGTAGCAGGTTTCACTAGCCACCTTGTAGATTTCTTGAGTTGCAGCCCACTAGCATTTATGGGAACTGTTTGAAGATTATCTGCTTTCAGTTTTTCAGCTGTGGGGAACCCATACTGTCAACCTATTTGCCACCAACAACAGCAAAAAGTACACAATCTTCTTCGTGGTCTCTGTGCATCACACCCTTGGGATACTCTGCGCCTGCGCTGACCTTCTCGGTACCGATAGCTAGCAAAAGGGATTTTCGCGCCTCTCCCAGGTCACGCGCCGGCTCCACTGCGCATGACCAAGGAGGGGCACGCAGATCCATTTTAAGGCCGCAAGTCCTACACCGTTTGAAACAACCCCACCGCGGGGCCATAGGCCAGCGGGAGGGGAACGTAAGTAAAGAACAAACACCGAAAGAAAAATGCTAACTACAAAAATAAAGAAAGAGAAACTAACTAAACGCGAGTTTAGCAAAAAAAGTTTGGTACTTAGCAGACCGAGGCAGAAGGCGTCCTACCAGCGCGGCGGTCAGAAGAGAACTGGCGGGATCTGCGTGCCCCTCCTTGGTCATGCGCAGTGGAGCCGGCGCGTGACCTGGGAGAGGCGCGAAAATCCCTTTTGCTAGCTATCGGTACCGAGAAGGTCAGCGCAGGCGCAGAGTATCCCAAGGGTGTGAATGCACAGATGACCACTCGAAGATCACCAGTTACAGGTAAGCAACCTGTCTTACTTTTGCTCTCAAGTAGCGTCTCAGCATCATTAGGGGATGCTTTTCAACTCAAATGGACAAGAGACCCTGTACTATGCCTTTCCTCTTATCCCATGAATTCTCTGTAAAATAAGGAGGAACACACCTGAGCTATACTAGTAGCACCTTTCTGGCCAAGGCAAACTTGGTTTCCCATACTACTAGTGATGTCACAAGGCTTGTCTTCTGAGGACAATCTCTTCTCTCAGGGCTCTATCTGCACAATCCATCACAAGGTGGAATGTCTTCTGCATTTGTTAGTGCTATGATTTAGCACCCGTTGACTGCCCCTTGCTACTTGCTGCCCATTCGACTTGAGCATGGGTGACTTCTGCAGCTCTTTCACACAGCCTCTCCAGCAGTGCAGTCTGTAAAGACACAACCTGGTCTTCCTCCTGTACTTTTTCAAAGCATTGCTCCATGAATGTGGATGCATCAAAAGCTGCAGAAGTTGGAAGAGCAGTGCTCCGATCCTTGCTCAGCTAGAGTTCATGTCCCCCTTCCATGATCTGATAAGTCACCTCACTGTTCTCCCACATGGGACTGCACAGGTAACACGACAATGAAATCAGGGTTGCACAAATTGCTGTCCATTGAGTAGTCACCTGTGCAGTCACACATTCCCCCTTCCTACCCTCATGTGAACTTTTCCCCCCTCCCTGCTATTATTGCTAGAGGTACCTCTCTCCAGCAGCAGCCTTGAGGAACTTGAGGAAGTCTGCCCAGTCCTCCTTTTGTTGCCAAAAAAGGTGGGAATCTGGCATGGGGGAAGGGGAAGGGAGCACCCTCCACTTTCTTGAAGCTTCAAAAAGCCTCTTTGCAGCTTGCCTGCACACATGTAGAACCCGTGTGAGGCTATACAGGTGATCTCTTGTTGAACAACCATTTTAGTAAGTGCAACCCTGTTTTCCTCATTTCTGAGTGCTTTGGGTTCGAATAAATCCAAGGAAGAGATCATTTATTATATTTTCAGTCCTAAAGATGCCCAATGGACCATTACTTTCTCAGCTAATGATGAATGGGAGCACTTTGCTCCATTGATACTAAATTGAAAATGTCAACAAGTGCTTAAGAGACACATGTCTAAATATGAGCATAATAATGCCATCTTAGCAGTTAGCTGTGTAATGAATGCACTACGTTTGTAAATGCTTCTGTTTTAAAAAGTGCACGTGGGTTGGAAGCCCTTTATTGACTTTAATGTGACTATTTCAACCTATGGCAGTGGTGGTTCTTTCACATCTGGATATTATGGTCTAAACTTGGCCTAGATCAGTTTTTCTCATGTCTTTACCAGTGCTTGAGTAGCTGTGGAATGGTTATCTTATGAAAAGTTGAAGATTCTGACTCCACTTAATCAATAGAAGCAGAATTGACTCAGCCACTCATATCAGCATTACCACAAACAAGTTAAAAGCTATGTCTGCCGTTGGCTGAAACAGTCATGTGACTGAGTTTTAAATTTAAATGGGAAAGGATTATTAATGTGTGAACTGCAAAATGAGAATATTTGGCTTTTTAATGGATTTGCACGGCCAGGTACTTGCACCCAAAGTTCTTTGAGGTATACTGGAATATAAATGATATTTGGTTCCATTGCAATGAAACTTATGTTTGATTCTAACCAGGAATGGAAAGACAGAACTTAATAGTAGTTTGTGAATTCACTGTGGAACTTGGGAATTAATTTCCAAGAACATCACCACTGCCCTCAGCTGTAGGTGATGCTGATCTGTCAGCCTACCTGTATTGTTAGAGATTATCTTCTGTCATCTTTCAGTTTTGAGCCTCATTTGAAGATATTGAATAATAATAAGCTGGGTAATGAATTAACACTTACATTGTTTTTGTTCTCTTCTTGTCAGGAAGATGAGGTGATCACTTTGTATAATTTGAAAATTTAATTTCATTAAATTGCTGTGTGAAGTTAATTTTTCAGATGCATGCTCTTACTTTATTTTTAGATGTATTAGAACAGTATAGTTTGGAATGAAGCCAACCAGAGTCTGCATCAGATTGCAAACTCTTTTCAGTCTTATAGTGAAACTTGAAGAACATTCTTAATTTTGCATGTTTGGATGTCTCTGCATGCAGTAGCTTGCTGTTTTGTTAAAATTCCTAAGTTTGTTGGCATAGTAGTGGTGTGTGGTGTTTGAACTCTTAACAGCCAAAAACTCAAAATGGTATGCATTTTGCTTAGGTATGTACAAAACATTCCTGATGAATTTTTATGTGCTCTACAAGTACATTAATGTAAATGCCCTGAGTTATGCTCTTGTAGTAGCCATGCTAGAAAATACTCTGTATTGTATTCTGCAGGAATTTGTGCTCCTACATGTCCATTATGTATAATTTGCATGCGTTGCTGTAAAATATCTTAATGGAATTGTGTTTTCCTGCAAACATGCTACCTTCAAAATATTCAAAATATTTCCCTAAAAAGCTTTCTCACCACCTTCATTGTCTTATGCTTCTTTAACCAGCTGTCTAGGGAAAGTTTTGTTACTTAAGCAGCTGCTTGTCCATGTGACCCCAGCCAATCAGGGATTACCTAGCCAGACTTATGACCTCACATCGCCAATAGATGTGGTGACATCATGATGCTACAAAGGCCGTTCAGGAGTAAGAGCAATGCTTTGTGCCCCAATGATGAATGAGTGACACTTCTGGCAGTGTTTGTAACTCTCCATCACTATAAGCAAGATGCTTTTTAAGACTTGTAAAAACTTTAAAACTTGCCTCCATTTTGACCCCCCTACTCAACGCTACTTCTGTACAGTCTTTCATTGTACACTATATGGATCAATGATTCTGTCTGTTGTACCTCTCATTCATCACAGTCAAGATTCCTTGTCTCCTCTACCATTGTTAGTCCACAGTCAGTACACAGTTCGGAACACAAACCTTGACACATAAGAAGAGTGGACAGTGTTTTAAAATGTGTATTGTTTTGTTTGCTTTGGCTGTACATTCACAAGCAGCATGGTAGCTTCAGTTACTTTCAGAATGCTTACCTTCTTGTTTTAGTACCTGAAGTCAGGCTCTTTGAAGGACCCTCTGTTAGATGACCATGGAGATTTCATCAGAATGTGCACTGCAATGAAGAAGATCGGTTTGGATGATGAAGAGAAACTGGATCTCTTCCGAGTTGTTGCTGGTGTCCTACACCTTGGAAATATTGATTTTGAAGAAGCTGGGAGCACCTCTGGTCAGATCACTTTACCCTGTTCCATTGTGGGTTAAATAATATCACTGGTTCAATGAAAAATGGGTGTATTTAAACAAAGTACTTCAGAGTAGTAGCCAGTATTGGGACACTCAAATTGTTAGGTAACCTACAGATAGTTTCTAAAAACATGGGTATTTGAAGGGTCTGAAAATTGAAGGGTTTTCCAGTTAATTCACAAATTGACACATTTCCAAAGAGCTTGGCATAAGTGATGCAAATACATAGGTTCTGCTTTAGTACTAATTTAATTTAATAAAGAGAGGTTTTTTTCTTTGTTGGGTGGGAGACAGAACTCATGCATAGTAGAAAGGATAATCTGAGGTTATAATTGATGCATAAGACCAGTCAATTGATTGCATAAGGTATCTTATATTTGCCAAGAAAAAACTCAGGAACAGGAATTCAGGGGGCATTTAAGGGACATGAGGAAGTTTTGTTCTGCAGGTGGAAATCCTTGTGCTCAAGGAAATATTAGTCTGAATCCAAGCCCTGGTCTGAGGGCCGGGGGTGAGAGAGAACCTCTTGAAATTTAGTTTCTGTCCTTTAGTAAGCATACTTCACAGCCAAAAATAGACCCACGTTTTAAGCACCACAGTGCTATATGTATTTTCTAAATAAATAATAGCCGTGTTTTAAGATGGTCATCAACTGATACATTAGGGGCGGAATTAAAAGATAAATACTAGTTATACAAAAACTTCTGTGTGAACTTTCTCTGTGGGTTACCTTTCCCTTTAAAATTTAGGCAGTACTCAAGCTGCAGTGCATGCTATCAGTAACTTGTATCAAATGTGAACATACATGCTCATTTACTTGAATTACAGAAAGAAAAGGGGCTAGTCAGATATGTGTGTCTATGAAGCATATGTTCATGACATGCACTATAAAATAGAACACTCATACTTGCTTCTCATGTTTACAAAGTCTTTAATGCTTTACCCACTAACATAGGGAATTGTAGTGCACCTAGAAGTAAATGCTTAAGTTGTCCAGTGCTTTGAAGACATCCTTCGATGTTCTGGTGCTGATTTTTTGGAAGGTGGAAGTATGGAAAGATTATGAAACATTTGAGTCAACAAAGGACATGTGTGCAGGGCTTCTCATCTTCCTCCGAGGAGTTTGGAGTAGTTTATGAGCACATGGTGGTCTCCCATCCAGAGAGTAACTGTGCTGAATGTGTTCCATTTCAGCGTTAGAACTGTATTGGGATTCATTTGCCAATTCTTTGGGCTTCTGTCAACTTGTGGCTCACACACCAGCTGAGTTTTTAATCAGTCTCAGTGCAATATTGTTGAGGGTGGTAAGGCAAGAATCTCTGCTTTATTCTTTTTTTCAGCCTCTTTAGATAGCAGCTGAAATCCCAAAGGTTTCCATGCTCATCATGAATGGCAAATCTGTCTTTCAAAAATGTACCGTTCTGTTTTATGTCTCCAACTGTGGTTCAGCCTTGTTGCTTTGCCTTACGAATTAGTTTGGGAGGATAGATACATGCAGTTTAGATAGAGCTGGTAGGTTTATTTTTTTAATGTAACTTTTTTACCAATTGGGTTTCATCTCATTTTCACTCTGTTTGCTGTTTGCGTTAGGTGGATGTACACTGAAAAACAGATCTACTCAGTCATTAGAATGCTGTGCTGAATTGCTTGGCTTGGACCAGGATGATCTGCGAGTCAGTTTAACCACCAGAGTTATGCTAACAACAGCAGGGGGCACCAAAGGAACAGTTATAAAGTAAGTGGCTGAGGATGGAGTCATGATGTCTTCTCAACAACTGAGGTTTTTACATTCCTGTCCACTATTTTGCAGTGTCTTAACTTGGGTGGGGGGTGGGGAGAGATAGCAAAGCAGGGTTGCCTTGGATCTGCAAGATGTATACTACTTTCCTATTGGTGGTAAAACATCTGTCACCGTACCAGATTTATATGCCCCTCCTCCTTCTGCGTGTGGGAATAAACATATCTTTGTAATAATGCTTAAGAGGAAGGGGGAAAAGTCTGTTTTGTTAATAATTAAGCTGTCGAATGTGGGGAAAGTGAAACTACAGCAAGTCTTGGCACAGCTTGCTTAACAATAATTGCTTAAAAGCTGGGAGTAAACATGGTGTTTAGAATCGGTGTACAATTTGGAGAGGTCTGAAGACTGAAATGAAGAATGCGAATGCTCAGTTAATTCTTTAAGTGCTACAACTGTAACTTTCCTGTGTCAGGTTTGCAATGTATTTGGATTCTAGGTTCCTAGACATGAGGGTTATGCAGATAGGTTGCTATGTAAACCTGCTTGGTTCATCAGTTTTCCTGTTCAAATGCATTAATTGGTGGTATATTTTATGTGGTCACTCCATCCATTAGCAGATCACATCCTGTATGCCTAATCTTATCAGGGATTGCTTGGTAGAAGAAGCTTGTCTTTTTCAAAGGGACTGGTTCACTGTACTATTAAATGCACCATCCAGATTTTTGATGGCTGCAGTTCAGTTTGATTAGTTCTCAACATAGCATTGATATCAAGTAACATATGTCATACTTCATTTTGCATCTGAAGAATTAGGTCACTGTTCCATATTTTCTCCTCTGTGATTATCCCCCCCCCACACACACACCAAAAAAGAACCTTGACCTGGATAGCCCAGGTTAACCTGATCAGATCTCAGAAGCTAAGCAGGATCGCCCCTGATTAGTACTTGGATGGGAGACCACCAAGGAAGTCCAGGGTCACGACACAGAGGCAGGCAATGGCGAACGGCCTCTGTTTATCTCTTACCTTGAAAACCCCACAGGGTTGTCATAAGTCGGCTGTGACTTGATGACCCTTTCCACCACCACCGCCAGAAAGAAAGAAAGAAAGAAAAAGCACCAACACAGTGAGTGGCAGTGGAGAAGTCCCCTGCATCCTGAAGAACAAGCAGCATTGCAATTATGGAGCCTCTCCGTCCCTCTGTTCCTTAAAAATCTATTAAGGTTTTCAGCAGTAAATCAGTTGGCAATCTGTTTAGCTTCGGCATGCTCTGTTTTTTCCAGAATTGGAATGAGGTACAATAGTTTATAAATGGATCACTGAATTCATCAGTTCTGTTGATTTATGCAGTTGGAATGCCTTGCATACTTAAATGCAGTAAGTTAGAGATGTTTCACGGTAATGGTAAATTGTGCAAGCCTATTGGAATCAATTTGCATAGCATAGGTTTTTGTTCATTTGATTTAAGCTCTTGAGCTTTAGATGGCTTTAACCCATTTTTGATGGAAATGTCATACAAAGACACTCTTGATTCTTTTCCCCTTATATCTCATTCTGGCAGTATAAAGCTTAGCTAGTCCACGGGAGTGCAAAGACACCCAGCCTAGAGTATCTCTATCAGATATGCCACTTCCTTGTGGAACTGGTAAGGGTCAGTTTGTCCTTGGTAACTGATAACAGCATTATGTGCTAAAACGAGCCAAGGAGTAGGAAAGGTTGCGATCTGAAACGTAGGAACACTTATTTAATTTCTTGCTTAGATTTAAAGTGTAGGCTCAAGATTGTTACTGCTCCAGGTATTTGTGGAAAGCTAGTTTTGTATTTTTCCCCAGCATATGGATCAGCAACTGGAACCCAGGGTCAGATCTGTCCCCCCGGAGTCCAGAAACAAGGGAGGCAGTGACAACACAATGCTGGCTATGGGGATGGGAGGAACTTGGAGCACTCTCAAAGCGGCCCTCTCATAGATCTAGTTACTGACTGGCTTTTAGCAACTGTTGAATTTCAGGACTTTTTACAAGTGTGCATCATGAAGTACAGGGCTTTTTTTTGGGAGGGGGGGTGGAATCATGCCAGAACAGAGTTCCAGAACCTCTTTGACAAAATTCTTTTAAAAATGTTTTAAAGTTTATGCATTTTCTGTATACAGATTGAAAACTGCATTTCCCTCTTGAGAATTCCAGCACCTTTCTCAAAAAAGAAAGAAAAAAGAACCCTGAATACATGATTACTCTTTAAGCACTCAACATTAGTTTTTGTGTACTATTGTAAATCCTATGCTATTAAAGACTCAAACAGCAGGAGACATTTTAGAAAATGAACTGGCATTTCCTTGTTAATTAAATTTCCTTTCTGTGCTATATTATAGCACTGAGCACAGAATGACTCCAGTAAATTTCTGTGTCTACTGTCGAATAGGTTCATAACTCAAGTGGAGCCCATGCCATAGTATGTAACTACCTGAAGTTTACCATTGTGAGCATTTACATAAAGAAAAACTGTACTTTACCGAACTGGAACAGTTGACTGTGGCACAAAGTCAGTCACAAAAATAAAAAAGCCTCAGGGGTAGTACTGAGCACAGAAAAGATTCTGAAGTGTAAGGATGCATCTCTGGCAACCAAGATCAAGATAATTCATGCCACAGTATTCCCCGTTATTATGTGTGGTTGTGGAAATTGAACAACGAAGAAAGCCGACAGGAAAAAAGTTGATTAATTTGAAATGTGGTATTGGAAGAGAGTTCTACAGATACCATGGGCAGCCAAAAAGACAAATCAGTGGGTTCTAGATCAGGGGTGTCGAATTCATTTGTTATGAGGTCCGGTTCTGACATAAATGAGACCTTGCTGGGCCAGGCCATGTGTGTCATAAAATGTAATGCCAGGTAGTGGAGATATAAACTTTATAAAGGATACAAGCACAATTTTTTTTTAACTTAAAATAAAAACATGCTTAAAACAGCACTCTTGCAATATTTTGTTTATTTAACAGTGTCTGATAACTGACACCTCTTGCTCTGAATTATTGCATCAAAATGTCTGTGCTGTTGCAATCTTGAGTATGCTCTTCAGGTGTGTATCCGTAAGCTGCAAATCTACGATGACGCAGCAGCAGCAGAACTGGAAGAAGAAGCAGAAGACAGCCAGTTCCACTGCAGGCCTTGTATCCGTAAGCTGCAAACCTACGATGACGCAGCAGCAGCAGAACTGGAAGAAGAAGCAGAAGACAGGCCTAATAGAAGCCCTCTGGGGGCTTCATCTGGCCCACGGGTCGCATGTTTGACACCCCGGTTCTAGATCAATCATGCCTGAACTCTTTCTAGAAGCTAAAATGACTAAACTGATGCTATTGTGCTTTAGTCAGTACCTTGAAGAAGAACCACAGACATACAGTTTCCATTTGTTCAGACAGTTAAGAATCTGAACTTAATGATCAGCAGATATTAAGAGCCTTGTTTACGGAGAGCATCATGCAAATCATACAGAATGCCACAGGCAGGAAACATCATGAAATCCTTGAGGTGGATTCCTCAGGTGGCAAGCTAACTACTCGATGTGCCAAATGTACATGATAAGCCCTACAAAACAACAGCTATTTCATGCAAAGACAGAAAACTCTCTGTGATATTGTTTAGACTATGCTCAAGACAGGAGCAAACACACAGGGCATTAATATTTTAAAACTGAGAAAGTATTTTGTTAACACCCTACATGTGTGTTTCAGTTTTCTATTCAGTGCAGTTGGGGTAAATATGACTCCACCACTATCATCTGAAGAAGTGTGCTTGCACACAAAAGCTTATACCTTTGAATAAAACTTTGTTGGTCTTAAAGGTGCCATTGGACTAAAACTTTATTATTCCACCACTATCAGTTATTGCAGTGTACAAAAAAATTGCAAGGAAGGGAGGGGACATGAAATATCATAAGGCAATTGACCTTATTAAGGTTGAAGAGAACGGAGTTGTAGGAACTAATGAATAGAGTTTTACCTATTTTTCCTCCTGACTTCTTAGGGTCAGTTTGAATCTACTATTCAGATGAGGGTGGAAGGTATTCTCTTTCTCACTTAGCAACAATTCTTGTGTTTTGTGTTAATTGGCATGGAACAACCTTAATGTGTTGTTAGAAGTTTCAGCATCTGTTCTCTACTGTTCTCAAACGTCGGCATGGCGGATAGTAGAAGAATGCAAGGATGGGTGTATGTCACAAAATTGTTTATAATGATAATTTTAATTCCATCCCTTAATTTCCTCCTCAGGATTCTATATGCATTGATTCCTTTAGCAGGATATAATGCAGAAACAGTATGTTTGTCTGTGTCCTCATTATTCCCTGTGAGCAACCAGAAGGAGTGAAAAGGTTACTGTGCAGGTCAGAAGAGAGGTGTCATTTTAAGAATATATCAGGATATAACCAGCATCTGTTCTTCATTCCAGCATTGATTATTGTTCAGTGTTTGACATTCAACTGATCCGGAATTGCTGAACTAATGCAAAGAGATGGTTTTGAAGCCTGTTTTGGGGAACAAAAATTAGTCCTGTTAGAAACATGGAATTTGCTATGTACTACTAAGTAGAGCATTTTTGTCACTTTTACTGTGCTTGTCTGTAATTATTGGGTACCCTAATGTCTTATATAAAAGACTGGCTGCTGACATGACAGGATTACAGTGTAGAGCTTTAAAGGTATCAGAAGGGGAGTGTTAGGGAACCTTCCCTCTATTTATAAGATTCTTGTCAGTACTTATTACTGTAAGACAAACCAAGAGACAGTACATTAAGGCTGATTACTCTCTAATGTAATGTAGCTGCAGTTATCCTCTCTAATGAATGATGCCTTTACTTGCTTGATGTATCATCCTTAATACCAAGTAATTTCAGTTTCTGTTTATGGTAGCTTGCCTTTCAAGAAACATTTGGAAAGTGGTGGTTCCAAACTGTTCTCACCCCTGCCCCCGAGTCTGGTGTGACGTTGAATGTCTGCCCTATCAATTTTCCTACCATTCCTCTCTGCATTGAACTAGAAAAGAATATGCCTAGTTTTGACTGTAACCATTAGTCCTTCGGGGGTGATATAGGAAGTGTTTCAGTTCAAATGAGATTGTAGTTTTCAAGGTCCGTTTAAGCTGAGCAAAACTCAGACTTGCAGCACAGCTCTCAGTACTTATTTATTTACTTTTGCATCCTGATTATTTTGAAATAACTATTGGTGCTCCGTGTAAAGATGAGGAGTAGGAAGTAAATCAAATATTTTTAATATGATGCTTAATGAGTAATAGCTGTCATGACTGAGCCACTTTCATGTTGTGACTGACTTGAATGTGCTTCCATTTTCAACATTTCTTTTCATAATTTTCTCCACATATGAAGAACCACTTTGGGTTATTAGGGGTGGATGTGTGCTTCTTCCATTGCTTGGGTTTGGGGGGGGGGGGCGGTAGTGCTGAGAGAATGTCTCTCCCTTTCTCAAAATAAAAACCAGGTACCTGGCATTCAGGCCACAGCAGTGTTTCAGTTATGAATACCGCTTTTCGTAGCTCTGACCATCTGCAGCTTGGGTGCCATTTTCCACGGGTGATTGGCTTCTCTCTGCCTACTGGGGACCTCATGAATAGCCAGTCTTTGTTTCAAGACAAATAAAGGTAGTTCAGGGTGAGGGCTATGCCTTTCCAGGAAGCCTTGTGCATACATGTGGTCACTCTCAGCTAGAGAGACTGTTCTCAGTGATGTTGTCTCATAGTCAAATGTGATATAATTTAGGAAGATTCTTCTCTGCATACAATTCCAGGGCGCTTGAAAAGAAGTTGTGAGCTTTTGAGCCAGTTCATATAAAATAGCATCTTGCGGAATCACCTTGGTTGGGGCCATTTCCGAACTAACCACCATGCCCTTTTTGTATCAAGTGGTGCTGTCTTGTGGAACCACATTGCTCCTGCTGTCATGGAAACTGGAGCTGCCACACACATCACTCAGGCAGTGGTGCTTATATGCAAGCTCAGCATTGTCTCAGTGATTTACAGTAGCCCTCACTTGCACATCCCTATTCCCTGAATTTGTGCAAAGCCATCTTACTGATGTGTGTAAGTAAACTCTAGAAGAAGCCGGTAGCCCTGTCTGTTGCTTTGCTGTTTGGTGATTTCGTGACATTTCATTTGTGCTAACATTAAATCAGTTCTAATTGTGCACTTTCTTCCCCTTTTTGTGCCCTGCAGAGTGCCCTTGAAAGTAGAACAGGCAAACAATGCACGTGATGCCTTGGCAAAAACAGTGTACAGTCATCTTTTTGACCATGTAGTGAATAGGGTAAATCAATGTTTTCCTTTTGAGACATCATCCTTTTTTATTGGCGTACTGGATATTGCAGGCTTTGGTAAGTGCATTTTAATTATTCTGACTGTAATCCTGTCATTAAGCACGTATTAAGGGGTATAATTTTTATTTATGTATTATGTTAAGTGCAGAGTGAGCATTACCTAGTGAATTCCTAAGGCTGTGTCTGATATGAGTAATGGAATTCACTGAATAATTTCACATGCAAAAAATATGAGTACAGCATGTTGGTGGCCTCTGGTTGTCATGGGTTGGGCAAATGCATTTCATTGTCTTTCACCCTCCTCCTAGGTATGTTTTGGGTAAGTACTATTTAGTTCAATGGAATGTACTTTTTATAAGGTTGCTTAGTGTCTGAGCTTTAGTTTTGCCCTACGCTCTAAAACTAAATCAGTGCAAAAAGCATTCATTTTCAATGCTTGCGGGAGAGCTTTCTTTCAGGTAAATACAAGGTGATGTTTGGTAGCACATGGAAAGATGTTCCAATGTGGCTGTTGCATATAGGACTGTTTTTTGAAATGGAAATAGATTTGTTTCTGCCACATGCTGAGAAAGCCACTCCTCCCCCCTCCCCCAATATCCCATCACAGTCTCCTAGAGTTGGGGAGGATATGCTTCTGTATCCTTCCCCCCCCCCCTATTTATATGCCAAATTTTTGCAGTTGCCGCTCTCTGCCTATGAAACTCTGGAAATTCTGAGTTTGGGTTAGCTTGCAGTACTTCTTGAACATTTAGACTGGATTTGCTGGCAGGGTAAAAAGAAGTAAGAGTTAGAATGTGCCTTATTCTGTTTATATTTTAATGTTACGGTTTTGAAGGAATTAAAAATTCACATGTTCCCAACACCATCATAAGTAGTAGGCTGTAGCTTATACTTTGTATCACTGTGCTACACTTGCTCTCACATTGCATGCTACTTGCCTTGAGCTCAACAGAAGCTATGGGTTAAATCTGAAGAAAAGGGGAGGCCATGTGTTCTTAAGCTTTAGACGTAGTTAGTAATTTTAATTGGAGGGGAGTGGGTCGATTAAAAGACTGTCTACATGCAGTTAACATCATATTTTAAAATTCAACTATGATGTAGTCTAATTTCTGTTAATAAAGCTCTTACTGTACAGAACTAAAGACCTGGTGTTTTAACTCAATCTCCTAATTTGCCATTGTATTACAAGAGCACTCTGTGTGCTGAATTCTTCCACTTGAACGTTTTTCATCACTTTATTTTACAGAATATTTTGAACACAACAGCTTTGAACAGTTTTGCATTAACTACTGTAATGAGAAACTGCAGCAGTTCTTTAATGAAAGGATTCTCAAAGAGGTAACTTAGATCGCTCTATGCAGCGACTGCATTTGGAAAGGTTTTTTTTCTGGATAGAGTGTTCAGCTGCCTCTACACTTACTGTATGTGCAATGTAGGGCCTTATGCAAGATTGCCATTGGCAGTATAATTGGGGGATTACCATGCAGAATGATTACAAGCCAGTTCCTAAAGTCTCCAATAAAATTCTTTTAATTTAAATTTAAAAATCTACTTTTGAAAAAATATGGATGAGCTTTATCAGAATTAATCTCATATGCCTCATTATTTTCTCATTGACATTTACAGTTGTGTGCACACAGTCTGAATGCTTTCAAGTTTTAAAGTGCCATTCTAGATAGAGCTATGTCCTTCTAAGGCCATTGATTTAGAAAGGGTGTAACTCTGCTGAGGATGGCAGTGTTACAAAACTTGAAGATAGTGAAGAAAAAGTTTTTAATAACATTTTCACTTTTTGGTTCGTTCTTCTAGTGCACATGATCCAGTGGGAGGAATGATGCTACTCGATAAGCTGCAGGAGTAGAATAATTTGAAATGGGTTAGCCGTAATAACAGTTCTAGCAATTGGAAGGAGACAGGAGATGAGGGCATGATAGTTGAAGATACCCAATGGTCATATATTGTCTAGGAGAAGAATGAAAAAGAAGAGGCTTGCTCTGAAGACCAGAGTAATACAGATTGCAATGTTTATGCACTTGAAACAAAAATGTTTTAGCTATTTCAAAACTATTCTGTGGTCCTGATCAGATGGGTTTTTAGATCCACACCAGGCACAAGTACCTGGCAGATTTAAAGGTCATGACCAGACAGCAACATCTGGGAAATGTGCCTGTTCTGTGAGCATCCCATTTTGCCGTGCTTCGGAGCCATATTTAAAAGATACTAGTTAAAATCTGGAGTTCTCGCTTCCCAACGGGCCAGTTGCAGACTTTCCCCCATCTGATCATTCCAGCGCGCAATCCTCCCATCTGGATGGTCTGACGTCAGACCATCCTGAGTGGGCACCATTTTAAAAAATTCTTAGTGATATGTGCATAAACGTGTAAACGCATGACAGCCACAGAGGTTTGCTCAAACGTTCCGGACAATTTCATGTTTCTAAACGGCCTGTGAATTTTATGAACAGCATTAATTAAAAAGGTACCTAGAGAGAGGTACCACTGGCGATGCTTTAACCATTCAACTCCGCGCGGAAAAACAAGCATGTGCAAAGAATTTTTTTTAAAAACCCGACCGCGTGGCTCCTTCAGGTGGATGCCGTCTAGACAATCCACCACGGAGTGCACGCACGGTAAGGGGAGCTGTTTGGTCATGCAACGCTGGATAAAAAAGATTAGGATCAAATTAGAGCCAGGCCAATTGCGATATTGGCTTGCCCGTCTGAACACACCTTGTGTCCTAATGGTAAGACGATTTAAGGTTGCGGAGAAGTACACCACTAGGGACTTCTTCAATGGCAAGATCACCCTGGCAGGAAATAAGTATAGTCAAGCCAGAAGAGATGTGTTGGTGTGCGGCAGGCTAGTGAGAGGCATGAGAAAATGTGCACTGAAGCAATACTTTCATGACAATTTCAATGTTTCCATTATAGGAGCAAGAACTTTACCAGAAAGAAGGTTTAGGCGTCAATGAAGTACATTATGTAGTTAATCAAGACTGTATATTTTTTTGACTGTATAGGTATGTGCGCTAGACATTTGGCTCTCCGTTGTATAAGAAATTAGAAATTACTGCATCTATAACTAGTGTATAATAGGTACCAGTTTAAGAGGAAAGGTGCGTTTGGGGGGTCTGTGAAAAATGGACATTAAAATGGAGTCTAAATTTTGATAGCTTCCATGTTAGGGTATTTTGAGCCTTGCGGCTGATAAACTCACTGTGTGCTAGAACTATAGTTTAATTTAGTTACCAGTAACTTTCTAGGCAAAATTCTAGGT